AAAAAGGTATTGTGTACATTAATTTGTTCAATCTGACTAAATCCACTTTTTTGTTTTAATGTTCACCTCGAGTTGTTTCAACTGGCAACCATCTGGGCTGGAGTAAGGCTTTTACCAAATGGTTAGGACTTAGGAGTTGTTGTTGAGTGTAGGTAATGGAGAAACTTAAAAAACAAGCTAGCTTTCTTGTGTGCAGTGCAGTGCAGTGCGGTTTGTGTATGCATGGGATGGGAAAGATAGTGTTGAGGATTATGGTAACAAAGCCATAGTTGAGAATTTTTGGCAATGCAATCCCCTATCCTAGAAAAAAAAAACAATGGCAAGTCATGTGATTGTGTAGGCGGTCTACATTATTGAGCCGAGCTGTTATTTTCAGGTCTCTTTGTCATGCTGAAATCAGAAAGTTGAAACATGAATGTGGTCATCTTAAAAAGCCAAAAAACCGATGGCATGCAACTGTACTGCTTCAGAATTATGTCAGTCTCAAAAGATAAGCTGCTGAATTGCCCTTCCATTCCATAATTAGATTTTCCATTCTAGAGAGCCAATCTGAATAGGCTTATGGCAGAGTAGATCAGGTTGGAAGCGTGGTGGATTCAAACTACAACTACACCACGACAAGAAAGCAGGAATTTGATTAATGCTTAGTAATACAAAGTAGGCAACTAGGCATAGGTTTAGGAGCGAGCATACTACATGAAACTCTAATTCAAACTACAGCCTTCAGGCTCCAAAACAATAAATGGTGTTGATTCTTGCCATATATATATAAAATATAATAAAACATAATACAATTAAAATATAAAAGGATAAACAAAATGACTTTTGTTATTCGCGGTTAAGATCTCTTTCAGTTTTATTTTAAAATTAATCCGACAGCTAATATTAACACTCTAAACTTAATAGAAAAAATATACCTCTAAGGGTGTGTTTAAGGTGACTTTTTGAAAATGTTTTAATACTTATAATTTCTCATAAATACTTTAAAAAAAAATAATATATGGAACCACCACCACTACCACCATCACCTCCATCGCCCCACCACCATCGCCACTATCACCACCACCCTCTACTACCAAAACCATTACCACTACCACCACCACCCCACCACCAAACTACCCCCCACCAACATCACCACTACCACCACCAATGTCACCACCCTACCCACCACCAATGTCACCACCCCATCCACCATCATCACCACCNTGGTGTGATCTTAAACCTTCTCTTTAAACTCCAAGAAATGTGGCAGCAGACAAATTTACATTTAGTGGCTTATTACAGGTTGTTTTCAAGGAACTTGCCCCCGAAATGACCTCTTTGATTCACAAGAATTTTCGTGTTTTTTGTAATTCAATGAAGTAATAGCTTTAGTTCTCTATGTTCCCAATTGAATTATAAAGCAAGTTGTAACAAATATAAAGGTGATATTTGTTTTGTTGATCATTTAATTTGCAATTTGGTTTGAACTGGTCCTTTGTCCTTAACGTTCATTATGTTTGGGAAACCTGTCTAGAAGAACTGCATTTCAGCTTGGAATGGCTGATGTAGTGCTTGTTTGTGCTCGACACTTATTACCTTGAAAAACAATGTGTAGAAAAATATGATGTGATCATTTTAGGGTTTAGTTTCCATTGAATGCTTTATCTCATTCTTTTTTATGTCCTCATAACTACTCCCTATTTCCTTCATTGCAGGAGTTTGCTACTCAATACGATCCCTATCTTGATCGCAACCCTCATCATTCTTGTTGTTGGAAGTTCTGTGAATATGGGTACTGTTGTGAACGCAGCTATCTCAACTGCTTGTGTTGTGCTCTACTTCTGTTGCTTTGTCATGGGATTTGGGCCAATTCCCAACATACTCTGTGCAGAGATATTTCCCACCCGAGTTCGAGGCCTCTGCATTGCCATCTGTGCCCTCGCATTTTGGATCAGTGATATCGTTGTTACTTATACACTCCCTGTGATGCTCACATCGGTTGGCCTTGCTGGAGTCTTTGGCATGTATGCTGTTGTGTGTGTTATATCATGGATTTTTGTCTTCTTGAAGGTTCCGGAAACCAAGGGCATGCCCCTTGAAGTGATTACTGAGTTCTTTTCTGTTGGTGCAAAGCAGGCAGCAGCTGCTGCCAAGAACAACTAAGCAAATAGGTGGGGGATCAAGGTCTGTGATGGGGGCTTCAATTTTCCTGTTCTGGTTGTTTTTAAGTTTTGAGGGGTTTGTGACAGCAAGTTGAAAACCTTTAGGAAAAAGGTATTGTGTACATTAATTTGTTCAATCTGACTAAATCCACTTTTTTGTTTTAATGTTCACCTCGAGTTGTTTCAACTGGCAACCATCTGGGCTGGAGTAAGGCTTTTACCAAATGGTTAGGACTTAGGAGTTGTTGTTGAGTGTAGGTAATGGAGAAACTTAAAAAACAAGCTAGCTTTCTTGTGTGCAGTGCAGTGCAGTGCGGTTTGTGTATGCATGGGATGGGAAAGATAGTGTTGAGGATTATGGTAACAAAGCCATAGTTGAGAATTTTTGGCAATGCAATCCCCTATCCTAGAAAAAAAAAACAATGGCAAGTCATGTGATTGTGTAGGCGGTCTACATTATTGAGCCGAGCTGTTATTTTCAGGTCTCTTTGTCATGCTGAAATCAGAAAGTTGAAACATGAATGTGGTCATCTTAAAAAGCCAAAAAACCGATGGCATGCAACTGTACTGCTTCAGAATTATGTCAGTCTCAAAAGATAAGCTGCTGAATTGCCCTTCCATTCCATAATTAGATTTTCCATTCTAGAGAGCCAATCTGAATAGGCTTATGGCAGAGTAGATCAGGTTGGAAGCGTGGTGGATTCAAACTACAACTACACCACGACAAGAAAGCAGGAATTTGATTAATGCTTAGTAATACAAAGTAGGCAACTAGGCATAGGTTTAGGAGCGAGCATACTACATGAAACTCTAATTCAAACTACAGCCTTCAGGCTCCAAAACAATAAATGGTGTTGATTCTTGCCATATATATATAAAATATAATAAAACATAATACAATTAAAATATAAAAGATTAAACAAAATGACTTTTGTTATTCGCGGTTAAGATCTCTTTCAGTTTTATTTTAAAATTAATCCGACAGCTAATATTAACACTCTAAACTTAATAGAAAAAATATACCTCTAAGGGTGTGTTTAAGGTGACTTTTTGAAAATGTTTTAATACTTATAATTTCTCATAAATACTTTAAAAAAAAATAATATATGGAACCACCACCACTACCACCATCACCTCCATCGCCCCACCACCATCGCCACTATCACCACCACCCTCTACTACCAAAACCATTACCACTACCACCACCACCCCACCACCAAACTACCCCCCACCAACATCACCACTACCACCACCAATGTCACCACCCTACCCACCACCAATGTCACCACCCCATCCACCACCATCACCACTACCACCACCCTCTACTCCTTACTACCACCAACACGACCAATGTCACCACCATCACCACTACCACCACACCCTACCCCATACCATCACCACCATCATTATCGTCACCATACCATCCCCTACAATCATCACCGTAGCCACCCCACCACTACCACCGCCACTATCCTACCACCACCACCACCACCATCACCTCTCTGTCCCTTACCAACACCATCATTGTTGTCACCATACCATCTCTTACCATCACCATCGTAGCCACCCCACCACCATCGCCACTGTCCTACCACCGTCGGTGTCATCCCACCACCACCTCTACCACAAAAATCACCATTACCCCCTACTATACCACTATCGCCATTACTACAACCGCCACTACTATACCACTATCGCCATTACTACAACCGCCACCCCACCGCCACCACCACCACCTATCGCTCGACCACTACCATCCCCACTACCCCACCCACCACCGTTATTGTCTAACCATCACCCCTACTACCACTACCCCTATCGCCTCACCATCACCCTTATCACCGCTCACTCCCATTATAAACGGTGCTTAAATTCATTTCTCTATCCTCTATATTTGTGATTTAATTTTAAATGTGAATACAAATATATTTATTATTGATCATTTTTTTTATTACTCTGTGCCGTCAAGTACAGACAATAACTAGTATATATATAAAACACCAAAGTTGCAACCACAATGTGTAAACAAATAAAACACCAACCCCTCGTATCAAGTCTTATGTTTTTGCTTTTTCATGAAGGGGGATTCATAGGGAAAAATAAGCCTAAGAGGAAAGTAGAAGGAACAAAATCTCGATGCATGAAATCCCCAAGGAGTCAAACCTACTCAGGAGAGTCATCATCTGGAAATACTACTCACAAGCCTAGCACCAACCCGGTCCAGTCTCTTAACCATCGTCCAAGCCTTCAAATTCCCCCCTTCCATAAACGCTTCCACTATTCTCTCCCCAATCACCTTCCCTTTCTCCTCATCATCAGTTATAGCCACGGCTGTTGGCCCAGCACCACTGATCGTACACCCTAACGCACTGGCCTCCATCGCCGCCTTCTTCACGCCTTCCATTCCTGGAATCAATGCCGCTCTCCTTGGCTCCACTATCTTATTGGACGATAATACCTTGCCTAAACCCTTCAAGTCACCTAGTAACACAGATGCCACCAATGCCCCTACCTGACTACAGTTTCACACGTGGTGCGACATAGTTATCTCTACTGGCAACGCCGCCCTCATTTTCATCGTCGGAGCTTCGAACTTGGGATTCACCAATACGAAAAACAAATCTTTTTCCTCTGGAAACTTCAATTGCATCAATTCCAAAGGATCATAGATTCGAATCAATACAAAACCTCTCATGATTGCCGGTGCCACGTTATCGGCATGGTACCCTAAAACTTTCGATTCCGATTCGAGCCCGGAAATCACACGATCGGATACATATAGTTCCCCCCCCGAAACTCTCATTCACTGCCACAGCAGCGGCACTAGCAGCACTGGATCCGAGTCAGGGAAAAGGAGAGACTGACCGATCGAATGTTGAGCATCTTCATGGTGGAAATGGCGAGATGCCAGCGCAATCCCAGAGAGGGTTTTTGCTGAGTTTAGTGGTAGAATTGTCGGCGCCTGTGATTTCAGAGATGGAGATCTCGCCGGGGTGGACTTGGGATTCGACTCGGAGAGAGATGAAATCGCCGATGCCATCGACGGCACATCCCAGGAAATCGAAGCCTGGGCCGAGGTTGGCGACGGTGGCCGGAGCGAAGGCCTTGACGGAGGTGAAAACCGGTTCAGGTTCGGTGGCTAGGGTTTGAAAAGAAGGGGGTGAGAGGTTGCATCTGACGGTAGAGAAAGAAAGGTGGTTGTATTTTGGTGAAGAAGGGTGTGAATAAGGGATGATCTTGAAAGGAGACTGGTAGCATGTGGCGGCCATCGAAAGGAGGAGAAAGTGTGAGTGAGTGTGTGTGTGTGCGCGCGCGCGCGCGCTCGCGAGAGTAGTGGAAGGTGCTTCTGAGTAGTGGTTCTCAGTCATGGTAGACGGTGGATATGGGTGAAAGGCGGTGGATGAAGGTGTTGATAAGCAGTGTAAGGAGAAGATAATAAGAAATCACAATGGCAATGGGACAGTGGTCGGTGGTCGCCTGAAAATGTTACTTCAAAGAAGAGGCTGCTGGGATTTCATCAGAGATACTTTCTAGAGAGAATAAAAAAAGGAACGAAAGCAAGGCCCGAAAAGTTCAGTTGTATAGATATAATGAGTTTAGCTACTGAGCATCTCCAGTTTTTTATTTTTTTTAATAATAAAATTTAAATTTAGATAAAAATAGTCTAAAACATTTCTCTAATGTTACATCTATGTCTATATCGAAAGAAGGAATTTTTTTTTAGACCTAAATCAAAGGAACTTTTTTTAAACTCAAATCTTTAATGGTGAAATTTTACAATCCTTTAAAGATTCAATAATTATATTTTATTCTCTTTTAAATTTAAATTTTTCTAATGGTGAAATCTATATCAAATCAAGTTTTTTACTTACATATTTTTTATTAGAGCTCTATGCCCATAAATTGTAAGTCCTCTGCATATGAGAGACACACCTTTTAACATCTATATATCCCACACACAATTATCCCTCTCATAACTACCTTACCACACCTAGAGCTTGTTCATGTTCTCTCTCCCCTCAACTACTATATCAAAAAAGTCTTTTGGCCATTGTTGTCGCCTTTCAAATAGAATAGGTCATCCTAATCAAACTATTCTATATCTGTGTAGCTTGTGTAGATCTCATATTTATATTTACTGCATTTATTACTCATATTAATTACTCGACAGGTGGGTAATAAATTAATTTCGGGGCCTCCACTACCTGCGCCATGGGCACTGCCCGCCACTTCGGCGTTGCCCTTACTTGTAGCGATGGGCATTGCCAGCCACTTTGCTCCTACCTGTGCCATTCACGTCGCTTAGCATCACGCGATTAGCACGGGCACTGCCCTGGGTGCCTTTTTTAGTGTAGCCTTCTTCCATGCCACGGCCTCCCTTGGTTTCGCTATCTTCCATTGTGCTGCCGAATGCCTCACTGTCATCCCCTCTAATACCTGGCCTTGCCCTGCAGCGCCCTTGCCCCGCGCATGTGCCCAGTGGCACATGTGCCTAGAGACCCTCGCGCATCCTTGCCTTGGTGCTAACCTTCTCACCCGCCTGCGCCTACATCCTTGCCTAACTGGGCACACTGCCCGCATTACATGCCCTTTTCATCCAACAATGTCTTTGGTGCCTTCTCTCACCCCAAGTGATCTCGTCTCCTACACTAGACGCCCAACATCACCAATTCACTATCCTCTCTGTCTCTTGGGAGAGAGAGCCTCACATGTCACCCAAATCTTGTCCCATTTAGTCTCTGTTCTCACGTAGACAGTCTATGTCTCTAGCTTAGCGGCTTTCATGAGAGTTACCAAAAGCTCGGTCTCACTTTGCCTCTGCTCTCAAGCAGCCTATGTCTCCAACTTAATAACGGCTTTAACGAGAGCTACCAAAAGCTCAGTCTCGTCCTGCCTCTGCTCTCATGAAGGCAACCTATGTCTCCAAGTTAGCGGTTGTTACAACTTTAGAATTAATCACCCAAGTGTAGGTTGTGTTAAGTAATAAATTCTTGAGAGTCTGAGGTCGAACCACAAAAAATTGTAAAAACAAGAGACACAAAACAAATAAAAGAAAATTGTTTTAAAATTATTTTGAGTAAGAATTTATCCAACATAAGAAATGTGGGTTGGTTAAAACAATAATTGAAATACTAAAGTATCGAGGATATCCTTTCAAATTCATACAGTAATTATTAACGATCCAGTTTTCGAACTCAATTGAGAATCAACTGAGGAGTGATCCCAATCGAAATATTTAGCAGTGATAATATGAAAATATCAAAAGTTATAATTAATGAATTATCTAAATAAATATAAAATTTACTTGTAGATCACAAGCATTCACCGTATCCACAGTCTATGATAAATCAAGCTTTCCAACATGTAAACCTTAATTTTATTGCAAATAATAAATCAATTATCTTATGAGAAATTTTAATTAATTAATTTAAGTACGGAATAACCAGTTATTTGATTTGTAGGAAATTTCAAGTATTCAATGTACGTGACACAACAAATCAAGAAATTATATATAACAAAAACTTTACTAAAATACAAGAATCAAATTAAAAGAATAAATCATGCATTAAAAAAAATATTGAATCAATAATAAATATCGTGCTTCATTGAAAGTATCTCCCCTATCTTTAGTTAGATTTTTAGCAAATCATAGAATTAGAACAAAAACTAGAAAAGAAAAGATGAGAAGAAAATAATAATCATCTCTCAAATGATGAGAGCATTTATTTATATTAAAATAAATCCTAAGTATAAGTAGAAGATATAAGGTTGGATTGAAAAAAATTCTTTTCCAAAAAAAGTTTTTTAAGATTAAATTCTCTGCATAAAATTTTGGGGGCGCGGTTATAAAATCTATCTAAACTTTGAGCTTGAATTTCGCATATTTAGAGATCGATTCACGAAATTTTCATGAAATACACTTTTGTAGCCATTGAAGTCTTCTTTCTAACCTCACAAAAAATTAAGTCAATCGGATATCATGAGAGTTGCCAAAAGTTCGACCTCTTACGGCCTCTGTTCTCACATAGACAGTCTATGTCTCCAACTTAGCAGCTCTCACGAGAGCTTCCAAAAGCTCGGTCTCTTCTTGCCTTTACTCTCATGCAGGTAGCCTATGTCTCCATCTTAATAGCTCTCTCACAAGTCACCAATAAGCTCAACCTAATCCAGCATCTGCTCTCAAACAGTCTATATCTTCAACTTAGCAGTTCTCATAAGAATTGCCAAAAGCTCATCCTTACTCTATCTGTACTTTCACATAGACAGTCTCAATCTCCAACTTAGTGACTCTCTCACGAGTTGTCAAGCTTGGTTTAACTCTATCTTTACTCTCTCACAGGCAACTCCCTCTCCAGCTTAACGTCTCTCTCATAAGTCGCCATAGACTTGGCCTAACTTTGCCTTTACTTACACGCAAACAACCTGGTTCTCTAGAAGCTCGGCCTCAATAGTTGTTGCTCTCTCATGAGCCAACCTTAACTGCTCCTCAGCATCATGATGCCCAAGTCTCTGTTTTGTCAAAGCTCTCAAAACCTTATCAAGATTGAGCATCCTTAAAAGCATGAAAAAATCGCAGTCATCTGCGAATATCCGAAAGCAAAAATCTCAGTATGATCAAAACATACAGAAGATAAGGTTCCACATAACAAAGGAGTATCATAGCAAAACCCTCAATCGTGGTATCGATGTTACTCTCAGGACCCTGAAAGCCGACCTCTCTAATATCTGAGGTTGTCATGAACCTCCAAAGATGCTCTTCGGCCAAATTCACGTCCTACATAATGAGCATCAAACCACTATTGGAAGCAGGACAATGACAGGGAGCTCTGGTCTCACTGGAAGTCTGCACAGGAGACTTAATCTCTAAAATAGTCCTATGACTAACCCTAGGACTCAAAAGGGTCACATGTTAAGAACAAGCGGGGATGCCATCAAACCCCGCCTTCTGAAAATAGTAGAGCCATCAGAACTCGGCTACAAAGCACTAGGGGTATTAGACCTTAACTGGAAAGCATTGGAGACATCAGGCCTCACCCTCTTAGGAAGAAGGGAAGTCACCATCCTAGTGACATAGAGAGACTTCACCATTGATCTATCAATCACGTGATCACTTGTGAAAGAGAGAATTTTCAGAAACTGAAGACATCATTAGTTTGCCTGGGTCCTCCATGGTGTCGTCCATAGCACCGCCCGGCCTCATGCCTTCCTTGGTGTCGCCTAGGTTTATATCCATGGCATCACGCAAGCTTCTCTGCCTTTTTAAGGAGCCACTTGTGAAAGCATCTCAATCTCCATGCACTGAAGCATCCATGCCTCTCTTCATCCTCTCTATTACTTGTGGGCTACCAGACGAGAAAATAAACTTCAAAAATGCAATGGAGTGGAAAGCTGAAAAAGCTACCGTATGAAACAAGATATCTAGTCTATTCAAATGAAAAAGCTCATTCAGGCCTCAATCCCCTATCACTACTAGGACTTAGGGCATGGGGGACAAATGATGAGCCTAAATTTAAACCAGACTTCGGCCCAGTTCATAGGTTGAGCCCAAACCATCAAAAGGTAGACCAGACTTAACTCATGGCCTCAGCTCAAGAGTCCAACAAGAGTCAAAACATGTAGGAAAATAATTATCAAGATAACAATTACTTCAAGATAGTGTTCATCCCAAACTGTAGCTATCCTCCCTGATAAATTAGTACCTGAACTCTTAAATCACTACCTTAACTAAGGCTCTATGCTTATAAACTATAAACCTTCTACACATGAGAGACACACCTTTTACACATCTCTACATTCCACACCCAATTATCTCTCTCATAGCTACCTTACCACACTTAGAGTTGTCTGTGCTTTCTCTCCCGCAACTACTTTATCAATAAAGTCCTTCGGCTACCCTTGTCGCATTTAAAGTAAAGTAGACCACCCTAACTAAATCACTCTATATCTCTATTTTACTTGTGCTAACGCTTCAAACTTGCACGAGGGATTGCAAGTAACCAAAAAAGAGGGAGAATATTGAACGTGCATGCGTGTACAGAGGATTATAATGGTCTCACTGTAGGCCCATAACTCATTCTTTCCCCAACCCAAAAACGCTTCCACTTCTACATTCTTCGTTTCATGTGTTTGTTCCAAAACAAATTCCAAAACATATATATATATATATAGGAATATCCTGTGCCTGAAAGCACTAACACAATATGAATAATTTTAAAAAAAATTANTTATATATATATATATATATATATATATATATATAGGAATATCCTATGCCTGAAAGCACTAACACAATATGAATAATTTTAAAAAAAATTATTGATAGCCGTCGAATAAATTTATTTAAAACTATTGGATAGAATTATTAAAACATGCTCTGTTTTATATTATAGATAATGATAATTCCCCTATAGACTATATCTCATTTTCTTTCCTTTCCTTTTGGCATTTTCCTTTGGCACATAGCCCTTTTCTAGTTAAGAGTGACTGTCAAATATGTGAGATATAACTACAACTGACTACATGTTTAATGAAGCTAGGTATCCACATTATACTTCTCATGGCAAATGTCTGCAACTCTCTTGGATCCATCCATTGATTCAAGTTCTCTTTCATTAGCTCTTGATAGCATTTCCATGCGTTTTCTCTTGGACTCACTTTTCCATATCTCTTCCCTCTCATCCGCAAATGATAAGAATTTTTGGAGGCGTGCGGAACGTGAACTGCCATGCCTAGAAGGTTCCGATGAGTCAGTGTAATGTTGGCTGAACTGACGTAACATTAAGCACAGATAAATAATGAGAGCAAGGAGGCAAGCAATTCCACAGATGAGGAATAACCCCCAAAAACTCTGTAACTGGAGTTGGTCCGATTGATTCTGAGAACTTTGTGAACCACAACCTCTTTTGTTCAGCCACTTGTCATGAATCTTCTGAAGATCACCGTTCTCTGACAATGTTAGAATGGCAGTTGACATGTCAATTGCTAATGGGGAGTCTCTTGGAAATGCCTGTCAAGAAAAGAATAATTTATCCTTGCACCGAAAAAGAAAGAGAGAGAGAGAGAGAGAAGATTGTACATCATCACCTACAAAACCAAAAAAATTAATGCTTATAGTGGACTAGGGTTATGTTTGAGAGAAACTTCAGGCAATGACTGAAACGNATTATCCTTGCACCGAAAAAGAAAGAGAGAGAGAGAGAGAGAGAAGATTGTACATCATCACCTACAAAACAAAAAAAATTAATGCTTATAGTGGACTAGGGTTATGTTTGAGAGAAACTTCAGGCAATGACTGAAACGGATTTATTGGTGCTACTAAATGCTCTCCAAAGTAATGTCATCATGCCAAGAATGAAGACACTGGATCTCAAACAAACTACAAGGCTCTCAACTGTTAAAACTGCTTGAAGCTAGCTTGGTCTAGGATCTCAAATTTCAATGATTACACTTCTCCTTTGATGTTATTTTCAACAGTCTTAAGCTTCTCTCATTTATTTGCCCCAGTNCTACTAAATGCTCTCCAAAGTAATGTCATCATGCCAAGAATGAAGACACTGGATCTTAAACAAACTACAAGGCTCTCAACTGTTAAAACTGCTTGAAGCTAGCTTGGTCTAGGATCTCAAATTTCAATGATTACACTTCTCCTTTGATGTTATTTTCAACAGTCTTAAGCTTCTCTCATTTATTTGCCCCAGTACTTTAGTTGTCAATAATCTGTAGACATTTGAGGACTCTTCTTTACTATCACTGTACACTTTTAACTTTTATTAAGTACCTAATGCAGACAGGAAGACTTGTAATTAATTTCTCAGTGTATAGATACTCACAAATCCCCACCCACTCTTTGTGAACTCTTGGCCAACAATCTGGAACCTGCAGTAGTCTGAAAGGAAGATTTCAACATATGGACGCTCATCAACCACAGCTGCAACAGTCCCTTTCTCCAGGGCAGTACGGTATGCTTCTGGTGAGCCAAGAGCAATAAGCCTGGATTTAGCAACATTGAGTTCTTCAATCAAGTAGTTTTCAGCAAATGAACCTATTTGGTATCCAATAGGCTCATTGCTTGTTATCAACGAATCAATTCCTTTGACAGGTGAGGAGAGTTGTTGCACCGTAAGGATTGATGTCAGGCTTGCAGTATAGCTTGAATTAATTATCAAAACCACAAAGAGCCAGATAATTAGAACCAAACGACCGAGCGTGCTGACTGTGTTTTCTCCTGAAAATTTGAATCACCTAAGAGTCAATACAATTGGCCTTACTCTGCTGAATTCATTGAGTGATTACAGGGGCAGGGTGGAAACTTACTGTGGGAGAAAAACATAGTTGAGAAGCTAAACCTGAAACAAAAGAAAATAAAGGCAGAACAGATCGCTCTTAAACATGGCAGAGGTGCAAATATACTATAATATTTGGATAACAATTGTGAGATCAATATAATAATAATCAAACATAAATAAACAACTCACCATAAAATTGTGATAATTTGTTTCTTAGGAGGCCCTCGAAACTCATCATTTATTCTATGTNAATTGTGAGATCAATATAATAATAATCAAACATAAATAAACAACTCACCACAAAATTGTGATAATTTGTTTCTTAGGAGGCCCTCGAAACTCATCATTTATTCTATGTTCCAGAATCCACACCACTACTCCCACTGTCAGGAAAAAAGCTGCCGTGACTCCCCACATTAGTGGAGTGAATGGGCGCAAGAAAGCCCAAGCATTCGACCTTAACTTCTTGACTGGGGCTACAATGACTAGCCCTGACTCAGCATAAGGCTGAGTAAAATCCACAATCTTTGTACGGTTCGTAACAATAGCAATGTCACCAACGGCAGCATCAAACACCTACAAGAAAGAATCAGAGTATCAACAGACAAACATGTTTGCATACGATAGGTATTTACAACAGTTCAGTTCATTTACTCACATTGGATGTGATCATATTCACAAGCTCAGCGTAGTTGGGATTCTTGTGACCATCTCCAAAAAGAATGAACTTATAAGGAACTGCATAAGGAAGCAACTTTATTGCAGCAAGAAACACATCTATGCAATATCCTTGGACCATATCAGTACCTTCGACTTGTGAAACAAACTCTTGATAACTAACTCTTTTTGGAACTCCAATTCTTAACTGCCTTCCATTGTTTGGGAACACCCACCCACGAGGCTGAATTTCTGTTCCTCCAGGCCATAACACACTAAATAATTGCTGGTTTGAACTTGAACGGTTGGGTGGTTTGCCATAGAGAGTCTCTGGGGGCACAACAGATAGCCCNTGGGAACACCCACCCACGAGGCTGAATTTCTGTTCCTCCAGGCCATACCACACTAAATAATTGCTGGTTTGCACTTGAACGGTTGGGTGGTTTGCCATAGAGAGTCTCTGGGGGCACAACAGATAGCCCAGAATAGTTAGACCAGTATCCTATCTCCCGAAACCCAGTTCCAATCACATTGATGATATCATAAGAAGGATGTATCACTGATCTGTCTGGATTAAATCCACTAGGGCCAGTTAGTCCTGTCATATTGGTCGCCAGTATGTTGCTAAGCAACTGCTTCCCACCATCAAAAGTGCTCAATGCACTAAGGTTCAAAGCACCTCCACCAAGACCATTTAAATTAGAATTATTGGAGAATGAGATGGTACCACCACGATCGAAAAACAGTTTGATTGCATTAGCAATCATCCATACAGTATCATAAGCATATAGACCATAAGGATTCAATCCAATAGAGCCATTACTCAACTTGTTCCAGCGCGATGTGAAAACTCTTTTCATCTCCGAATTGGGTGTATGGGGGCGAAGAGTCAAAACTCCTTGGATAGAGCTTGAAGTATTTGGAGAAACTGGAGTAGAATCTAAAACATTAGATAGCCAAGTGGAAGTAATCCAGACATATCCACTTTCCATCATCCCAAGTTCCTGGGCCACATCAAAAACCAAAAGACCTGTTTTGGAGTAAGTGTGTAGCACAATTACTCGAGATTCCATCATTCTAACCTTAACTAATTCATCCATAACCTGTTCCCGAGTGGCCAATGGGTCAGGCGGGACTGCTGATTTGAAAGAAATTTTACAGCGTCTCTCTGCAAGTTTATCTCCTAGTGTGGTTATGCCATTTCGACTCTGATCATCATCTGAGAAAACTGCAGTCACCTCCTTATAACCATAATAACTGACCATCTCTGCAATGGCAGTCATCTGGAACAAATCATTGGGCGCTGTTTGAACAAAGTAAGGGTATTGCAGAGGTGAGAGAGTGGGGTCCAATGCCGTGAATGACAAAAATGGGACATGGAGTTCATTTGCGAGATGCGAGAGTACATGAGCCATGCCAGAATGTTGGGGACCAATAATAGCTACAGTATCAGTCTCCATGTACTGTAATGCTGCGCCAGAGGAATTCAAAATTGTGAGGATAATCATTATCTTAACCAGAAAGTGAACATTTAGCTGATGATATGACAGCACTCCTTAGGGATACAATGAAAGAGCAGCTGAACAGTAGTACTACATGAGAATGAAAACTAGTAAGAAATATAAGAAAAAAAAGTTACCCCCAACAATGCCGAGAAATCCACTAAAGTTTGAGTCGTGCAAAGAGAGAACCAGTTTCCGGCCGCCGAGAACATTGGGATCAGAATTGACATCATCTACAGCAGCTTCCATGGCAATCTTTGCAACTCTGCCATTAATAGTTCCAACCGTGAAAATAGCTCCAATGTTCACCACGCCAGGTTTTGAAATTGCTTCTGAGAATGCCCCAACAAAGAGAACGGACAGAGACACAAGCCAAACCAAATTCATGATGACATCAATTGATGAAACTAAATGCCTTCCTTCTCAAATGAGACGCAAAACCCCTGCATATTGATTGGAAGAAAAATGAATAGAGAACTCAAACCCAAATACAGATTTTAGGTAAGAAGCCTATAAGAAAGAAACTAGAGAATCATCGAATCCAATGAAAACACTACCAGGCCACCCAACTCATAATATGAAAAAGAAAATTTTAGGCAAAATACTTACCAAACGAAGATAAGAGCAACTAAAAAAGCGATTCCTAGTTTTCAGCAAGAAATAGTGAAATCTCGGGTTATATTAGGATTTCATGGGCGATGGAGGGTTAGAGGTTACCTCAAAAGAAAGAAATGCTAAAGGAATCAAAGGTAGAGCAGCAAGGCACGGAAGACCCCATTTTTATAAGAGAAGAGCGGAGGGGAGGGGATAGATTATTATTATTAGTGCAGAAGAATTGCTTCAGAAACTGAAAACGAAATTACAATAAAGAAAAGAAACCAAAAAGTGGAAATTCCCATTACCCTACCCATCACCGGTGGAAGGAATACGCTTCACATGAAAGGAGAATAAGCCACTTCGCCTCAGCTATGGACGACACTTTGCCATTTTTCAATTATGAGAATACTTGGGAGATTGAGAAAGAGCACGCTTGGATAGTTGGGCTTCCACTAATCTTTCTGAAAGCTACGGAGAGTTTACCCACGTTTTTTTGTAAACTCTGGCATTGGCAAAAATCTTCTGCGGACCCAGACTCCTGAAGAAGCAGAATAGAATAGATAATAGTTAATTATGACAGGGAAGGGCAGGGCAGTGATGGGGCTATAAGAAGTGAATGAATGCATCTTTTTTTTTTTTAATTATTTTTCCCCTGCCCTTTTATCCTTTTGGCCTTCTTATATATGGTAATGGTAATCAAGTAGAACATGACAATAGTAGTAGTGCCGGAAGATAATGGAAACGAAGAAAGTATTGTATGAGGATGGTGAGGGGGGACTAAAAATATGGTGAGTGAATGTCCATTGTGGGCGATGCGACGTTGGTGGTGACTGTGAGAAGAAAGAAAAGAATATGCTTTGAATCCGATGATAGGGTAGGATGGATTGGAAAGTGATTCTGCAGACAGATAGCTAGCTGCCTACTCCTTCAGGCGTCACTCTTGCTCTAAAATGGACACGGGTGAGGTGGGGTGGGATGGAGGGGGGACCCATACTATATCTCTTTGTGGGTGGGTGAATAAGAATTTGAGACAAATGTGCACAACTCATCTCCAAACGGGCATAAATCTCAAAAAAAATTAAGAATGTTTTGGCAAAAAATTCAATGTGGGTCCATGAATATTGTCAGCAGGTCCCAAATTCATCATTATCATTGTGTGTGGTTGGTGTGATCCGCCTGTAAGTTTGGCAATACTATATTCTATAAGAAAATCATTTAGATCGAAATTACTCAAAATCGGATACCCACCAGCTGTGAGGTTCACATTCAGACGGCCACAGTGACTAACTGAGTCAGCTCTGGAGTGCAAAAGTGGCCCCACAAATTAAAGTAATTGATACTTGTTTCAACAAGAAGACACTACCGCTTCTTAACTGGCGGTGATGCAGTGGTCCGGTGTGTGTCGTTTCTTTCTAAAAATACAAATTTCGGGAACTTGCGTGCGTGCGTTAGTCTCACAAGTCTTGTGTGGGCCCAGTCACATGAATGAGGAGTAAAGATTGGGACTATTTGGATAACCTTGAATTGTGTGTATGTGTATAAGGCCCTATAACACTATCGCTTTCTAAGTGGTGGTGTTGTAGTGGTCCTGTGTGTGTATCGTTTATTTTGAAAAATAACAAAATTGTTGATATCATTTTTGATTCTCAGTTAGGTATAAGTAAAACCTTAACTGAGTTTTAAGAATTCTTTTCTTAATTTTCCTATCATATAAACTATGCAGGTCGGTACAGTACAACACATAGGCCTAATAGAATTCCAAAAAAAAAACCCACTCGTTAATTTACTTTTGGATTAAATCCCTATTCAGAAGTAAAAGTAATGAATATAATTAACGACCTTTAAAATTGTAAAAATAACAACAATGTCATCAGACAATTGAAACAACTATTCTAAAAAGTTACGTCATCAGAATGTACTTTCTTCTTCATAAAAACATATCATTAAACAAGTACACTAAAAAAAATGACATATTCTCAATTAGCGTATCCATTAATTGATAGTTCGTAGGTACATCAAAATATATTTACTAATACCAGTTAAATTCAATATATTTTTGGAACAGATACATTGAGACGGTCTCTTCGATTAACTACACAATTAACACTATAATGAACATACATTTAAACTTCTTCATCTATCCCATGGAAATACCTCTATAAATAATGTATCAAAAAATTATAACAAAAACACATAAAATAATGGATCATTCAAAAGAGCAAAGAACACAAAGTAACATACAAATGCTTATAAGTTTTCTCAAGGAAGCACACACCAAATAAGATCGCATGCAAAAAGATGTCGACTATCTATAATTCCAATTGTACATGTCCAACAAACAACGAGACAAATGGAAGAAAATGACGAAAAATTCAACAAAAAGCTGCATATACAAACATATACATTCACAAAATATGTACATCAATATTTAATTAAAAAGAGGTACAAATATGTCATTACAAGTACACAACTACATAAAACCTGATAAGGGTGAAATTTTAAGCATGGGTTGTCACAACCTCGGAGCCCAATAAGCCCAAAAGACCCTCGCTTGTTTATTAACCCAAAGGGAGAACCCCCGATCAGCCCGCACCGAAGAGTAGAGAAAGCCGAAAGGAGAGAGCCCAATAGCACCAGAGGACCAGCAACGCAACCTAGGCCTAACTTAACGACTAGCCAAAGGATAACCTAGTACTGAGAAACCAAGTTCTCGCCCTTGGAGCACCCCGTCATGCCACATGTCCAAAGGACAAGGAGACCATCTCTGACGCCTGTGGCAACTGTACCCTCTCAGACACAAAGAGTGGTGGTGCGCATAACGATCCAGAGATCGTGGTCATAGCAATGCCGAATGGTAGCGATTGTTGCAGGATAGTGACGAGAAACCCCATAGAATCAACAGAAAGGTAGAGGGAGCCACCGAGAATCCTAAGAGGAAGGACCGGTATAAATAAAATAATGTCAACCTACTAGAAGGGGACTCCCCACTGTATTTCTCAGCCTTAGATACACAACGAACTAAGTATAAGCCCTTGCAAAGGCTCAGTGCCAACAATCTGAACATACTCATCTGATCTCAATATACGACCTTAAGGAGCAAGAGACTCCATTACAATGGGCGTCGCCTCAATCTTTCGGTTAAGGTGAACCACTTACACTATGTGTCTTCCATTGTTCACAAGTCAACCTCAAACCCGGTTGAACTCACTGATCCAAATAACAACTCATCGATTGAGGTTGAGTTATTATTTCCAAGATGCCATGAAAACCAAACACAATTTAAAATTACGTAGATCATAACGAACATGTACTTAAATTTATCAACGAATATATAAAATATAACTAATGCGATCTAATATGTGTACTTACTAAATCAACACTTAAGATAAACGACTGGTATATTCTAAATTACATGGTTCACAATTTGAAATTCAAAATTGATAGACAATATTACAAAATCCTAAATAACAAATGCAAAAAAAAAAAAAAAAAAAAACTAACCGTATTTTTGGCTGAAATCATGTGATGAGAGCAAAATAGATAAATGAAAATACACTAACTACCCAACACCTATACGTTCGCGCTTATATAAGGATCGCGTGCAATTTTTTTAAAAACACGGAAAACCTTTTTATATATTAAAAATATGATATGACTAAAATTAATTTACACACCAAATAAGGGACCTTTAGCCTAATTAATTTTTTTTTTTTCAAAGACCTATAAATGGTAAGTTTAGCTAAGACCTATAAGGAATTTTTGTCTTGGAACTGTTGTTTATGATTTATGCATATCAAAATGACTTGATTGACACCTGTAGCAGCACATGCTCTATTGTAAAATCTATAGTTATTCATTGTTCACCAAAATAAAAAATGTAGAAAAAGCATAGCTTAAACTACTGTCATGTTTGAGGGATTTAATACCAGGTAAAAATCATCCACTTCACGTTTTTTATATGCAGCAGCAACACTGGATTATTTTAACAAGTATTTCAGTCAAAAGAAGTACCTCACCTCCCCTCACTTACGAACAAGTAGTTGGAGCAAGACTCCGAAGTACCTCTCAGAGTTTGCTTTTGTTTTATGTTTGTAAGAGGTCTGAAAGTCCAAATGAATATCTGGTTACAATAACATTTACGCGAATTACTATTACAACGAGGATAACTTAATCACTATCATTTTTTTTTTTTTTTGGGTCATGAAATATAAGATTCTATAAATAAGAAACATAGCATTCTTTACAATTTGATTCACTCATCCTACTCCTCTTCTAGCTTCCATCCTAACAATATGCATCACAGATTGAGGGAGGCAATCGTTCCCTAGTATATTAAGTTTCTCACTTCTAGTATAGACTGCAAGCATATGGACAGCCTTGTTCTGGTCCTTCATGTTGCCTGAAACGTCACCACTGAGAGTAATTGAGCATAGCTCCATATGTCCTTTAGTAAAGCTGCAATCCCTTTCAAAGTATTCCCATTGTTCTCATTGATAGAATTTATAAGCTGCTTTGAGTCTGATTCAACAATGACTGCACCACAGCTCTGTTCCACAACAGTCTTGCACTCTCGCATGACTGCATAAGCTCTGTCATTAAGACAGAAGCTACTACCACAGTTTTGGCCTCAGCCATGAGCACTCTGCCTTCACAATCTCGAACTATGATACCATAAGCTCCCTCCTTTGTCCTTTCCATCCAAGCACCATCGCGATTAATCTCCAAAACCCCCTGCAGAGACAATTGCCAAGCCATTTCAGGTTCACCAAATAAGTTCCCACCCTTTATAG